TACTCTATCATCATTGATAAAGTACATGGTTAATTTTTTGGAACATTTTGATTCTTAACTGGGGTACTTGAATGAGGGAATCAGGCAATTCGAGGCGCTATGTCATCAATGCGTCTTCCAATGTTGTAGATGTTATAATGAGACCAGGTGTTGCATAATTTATTCAATTTTTTTTTGGATAGTTTTGTTGTTTCCATTCGGTCTTTGAAGTTGAGGTAATCACTGTTAAGTTATTCAAATAATTGATAATTGTATGTTTATGGTGCTAATTGTAACAAATTGCATGCATATCATTGATCGTGCACTTGAAAAACTACATGGGTTGTCTTCTCAATTTCTATTCATTTGGGTAAGATGCATATTTTCTCAATTATTTCTTCACCGTCTTACAAATAAATTGGTGTTTAACTCTTTGTTTAAATTTTTATAGGATCAGAACAAGTGCAAAAACAAAGATGAATTCACATTTTGTAAAGATCTACATGATGTCACGAATTAGTATGCTCGAATCACCCTAACGAATATATTGTTGGTGGATGATTCATCAGAAGAAATAAGTTATAATCTGGTAAGCTGTGATTTCTTTTAAAGATATTCCTATCATCAATAAATTTTTTCATTCTTAATTTCTCTATTTCAATAGTAATACAGTTGCATATGTCTGTAACTCTTTGAAGGATATTCGAATGATAATGCATTAGGTAAACATTTTTTCCACTTATGTAAAAAATGGATTACATTATTGAACAATGGTTTATTATCATAATTTGATTATTTAAATATGTCATCAGAAAAAGGCGGAAAAATCTAAGATACTTACAGAAATTGGCCAAGGCGTATAATATTCCATACATTATAAAAAAATAATCCATTTTGGTTGGTTTAATTTAATTGCGGGGTGTACTTGAAGAATTCTATAGCATTTTGAATTTGGGATTATTTTATATACATTATCTTTTTATTGACACAAATCATATGATACCTCAATTAGAAATAGAAGCAACTGTACTTTGTTACCTCCCATGCTAACGAGTTTAAACACCTTTATTTCCTCTTGTTCTATCAAAACAAACCATCATCTTCTATCAATATTTTCATAATATGGAGAAATCAATTGTTGGGCTCTAAACAATCAACCTTAAATCGCTAAGAGAGAGGTGAATCGACCTTTTAAAATCTTTGGCGTATAAGCAATAAAAAATAAGAGTTAGACACAATATGTATAGTGGTTCAACTTTCTCAACCAGAGTGTACATCCACTACCTTAGCTCCACACTAGGAATTTTCTAACAAATTCACTAATTTGTTCTTTCTTTTTCTATGCTCAAGAGTGATCTTTACAATTCCCGAGCTTCTCAAAGACTAAGCTAGAACCGCTCTGTTGAACTAAGTTTTTATATAACAATTATGACAAAATGTTTTTGGACTTGAATTGAATTTATTCAAAGTTTTCAAAAGTTTTCAAAAATAATTTAAAGTCCATTAAATTCGGATTTGAACAAAAATACTAAGAGGTACTTATACCCCTATGAATGGGTACCGATAGCCCTATGACTGGGTATCAATACCCCTATGACTGCTCAAACATCGAATGCAATTTTGGTACTAATACCATACAAGGGAATCGATACCATAGTGCAAAGGAGTACTGATACCCTTTGAAGGAGTATCGATACCCCAAGGCTCCAACGGCTAGTTAAATTTGAAATTAACAAAGGAAGTATCGATACCCTATGAAGGGGTACCGATACCCCATGTTTTGGACAACCTTGTTTTACAGAAAAATAATCCCCAAACGGCTCCAAAACATCCCCAACGGCTAGATACGACTTCAAACTCATTTCAAGCTATAAATACAAGCTGAGGACACTTGAAGAACTAAGAGAACAACTATCAAAGCAATCAAACACAAGAGAAGAGTTTTTCATTCTTATTTCATCTTTCTCTTGTAAATATTTTGTTCTTGTGAGCTTAATTTTTGTAAACACCTATCTTAGAGAGGTTTTCTTGTTTACATTTCCTTTCATTGTAAAGGGGAAAGGTTCTTGTTGATCCCGTGAAAAGCTAGGGAAAGGTTCTAGTTTAGCCCCTGAAAAACTAGAGAGTTGTAAAGATTATCTCTTTTTCCTGTAAAAAGAAAGAACAAATTAGTGAATTTGTTGGAAAATCCTTGGTGAGGAGCTAAGGTAGTGGATGTAGACTTGGTTGAGAAGTCGAACCACTACAAATCGTTGTGCAAATTTTCTATCTTTTAATCTCCTTACTCCCTAAACACAAGAACCGTCCTGACCCCTCTTGGCGAACCCTTTCGATTGTCAATTCGAGCTTCCGCAAATCCTAACACGCTCCCCTTTTACAAAGCATAAGAAATGTAAACAAAAAACTCTCACAAAGGTAGGTGTTTACAAGGATTAAGCTCACAAGAATAGATACAAAAGATATGCAATTTAGCTCTATACACTTATGTACAAGAGAAAAATGAAGGAACTAAGAATGAAAACTCTTTTCTCTTAATCCCTAAGCTTGGATAGGTGAAGTAACCTTGTTCAAGTGTCCTTGGGTTGTTTTTATATTATAGAATGAGCTTGTGACCATTTCTAACTGTTAGGGATGTTTTGGGGTCTTTGGAAGCCTTTAATCCTCTCAATTTTAACATTTTTGCATAGTGGTTTCGAAACCACTAGAGGGGGTTTTAAAACCATCTTAAGAAATGTGACTGTTGGAACAAGGGGTTTAGAAACTAGGCAGGGGGTTTAAAAACTAGGGGTTCTAAAACTAGGGTTTAGGAACTAGTCAGAGGGTTTCAAAACCATAAGGAAATTTTGATCGTTTGATCATTCTGCCTCAAAGGTTTTGAAACCTCAAACGAGGTTTTGAAAACTTACACCAAAGATTGAATATTTTGACTTATTTTGAATTTCTAAACATAGTTTAAGGTGTAGACCAAGTCAAAAAATACTAGGAAAACATTTTCAAGTTTTGTGGACTTTAAATCGTTTTTGAATCATTTGAACAAATTCAATTAAATCCAAAAAACTTTTTCCTTTATTTGTTATATCAAAATATATGTTCAGCATCAACCAATGGCTCATTGAAAAATCTCGACCAATCAACTAAAAACTCATAAAAAATCTCGAGCAATTAACCAACAAATCATCAATATATTCCTTCAAAGTTACTTACATAATTATTTTTGACTATCACCCTGTTAATTTGTCTAACATAATTCTTTCTTAGTTAAATTGTTGTGATATGCAGATCTGTTGGTTGGACATAATTAGGTAATCAATATGATGATGTATGTAACATCAAACACCATTTTCAAGATTCTTTTCTATTAAACTTTGAGCATTATTTAACCCTAAATTTTATTTCCTGATAAACTTTGAGCATTATTTAACCCTAAAATTTATTTCCTGAATGCTATCTAATTTTATTTTTTTCAATTCGAAGGTATTGCTTGTCCATCATTGTGAGACATAAGGTGGAAGATTGGATATGTGAAGATCAGCTCGTTCGGATATAATTGAGAAGACGCAAATAATAAATGTGTCCATTTCTTTAGGAATTTATCAATTCCCGCCAAATTGGACAATATTATCTCTTAAATATTGATTTTTCTTTATTCGAATCCTTTATATCATATTTTTTTAATTAAATAGTTAATTATTTGCCGTATAAATTTATTAAATATTTTTATGTCAAATTAATTTAATCTTTAATGGTGTTACATATATTTAAGCACTTAATAGTAGTTTAATATTTAATACTTTGTTTTATTAATATTATATTTATGATATCTATAATATTAATAATTTAAATATATAACTAACATTTATCCTTGTATTTTTGTGTTGATTGATTTTAGGATACCCGTGTAGAATTATGTTTGCTCTGATCCTCTACTCATTCGATTTGATAGAGACCAAAAAAATTGAAGCGTATTCAAATACATAAATTTTGCATGTTGGGTAAAAAAAATTAAACAAAACAAACTAATAAGCACAACATTTTTGTACATATATTTAAAATAATATATATTGAGGTGTCATTTTTCATTATGAAAATATGGTTGTATTTGAAGATCGTTGAATATACTAATTATATTGATAACATGTTAAATATGATTTTTTGTAAAACTTAAATAATGTAATAAAAGTAATTTTATGAACTTTCATGTAAGTATTTTAATTTAATATTGAAGGTTTAACTTGTTAAAAATAAAATATATCACAAGAACAATTTAGTAAAATATATATTCAAATAATTTTATATTTCTCAAACCAACATTATAATATTATAATCATGCCAAACAAACCAAACAAGGTAATGTAACATTCTTAGAACTACGTCATATAAAATTACGTTTCGAGAATCTTACTCCCATATGTAACCTTATATTCTCTCAACCAAACATTGTAATCTTATAATCATGCCAAATAAATCAAACAAGGTAATGTAACATTCCCAGTAACATGTCAGTTAATGTTACATTTCAGGAATCCTATTCTCAAAGGTAACTTACATTTCGTGAACCAAACGCCCCAAAGAGTATTTTGGGAAAATTTTGGGTTATTTTTTGTTCTGGTACTTGAGGAGAGTACAAATAATTTGGGGTAGGTCTCGATACCAATGTAAATGTATTGATACCAATAGTGATGATCGATTAGTGAACTTTGAGATGTCAAATAAACTTGAGAGCGAGGAGTTTAATAGTAATTGAGATCATACTATCCGATGGCCTCAGGCCCGGAGCTCAAAGGTTCCATTCATGGTGATTAGTTTGCCATCGTCTGTTACTGTAACAAACTATTGTGAAGCATTAATATAATGAAGTAGTGGGATTCTGCATTAGTGCATCAGATAATTTGTTTCTCCTTTTCTGCTGAGATTTGTCTATTTAAATCACTGGATGTTCGATGAACGTACAGTCTCAGAAAATGCACTGTAATATGCAACAGAAATTAATGCATTCGTTGCTTCAAATTCCCATACAACTCTGCAACTTCGAAATAAAACAGCAACACAGTTACACCACTGGAAGTAACAAATGTACCGAGCTAGGACACAGGAACATGATGATAACATCAGCTCTGAAAGTACTTTCGGCTGCCGTATCACATAATGTATGTGCGTATATATGTTGGTGGTTGATTGGTCTCTGAGAAAGAAACAAGCGAGGATGACTCAGTGCTTTCCAGGGCGAGGAGCACGACGACGAACAGGTGTCTTCGATGGGGCTACCCTGCATACATAACAGGCAAATAATCGCATAAGATTACCGAAGAGTTTCGATTTTACGACCTCAAAAAAGTTGGAGACACCAGCTCACACAAAAAAGAGTCTCACGAACAGACCTAATCGGCAGTGATTCCAGAACTGCACCACTGAAGTTGAGAGCTGCAGTGGCACTCTCGGCCTGCAAATAGTGAATATAGAACATAAAACATCTCCCTTACAAACAGCATCGAAGCATATTTTCGGTCTTATGAAGAGAGCTAAAATTATGAGAAACTTGGCAAGCAAGTTACAGCAATTTGGATCAATTAATAATCTAATACCGAAAACTGGATATCGCAACCATTTTAGTAAATAAAGTTGGTGAATGAGCAAATACCGTTGTGAACTCCACAAAAGCACTTTGAGTTGGATGCTTAGAGTCTTTCAATAGCCTCAAGCGCCGAACCTAACATAAAGAGCAAATGTTCAGCACGAACTCATAAAGAGCATGTTGTATAGTTGAGATACAAATGTCAAGTTCCATCACTAAATCGGGATAGGTTATATAGAGGATACAGTGAGAAAACTCTGTTTACCGATGATTTGTTTTAACCGACGGCCGACACAAATGTTTCATCCTAGTATTTATAGAATAGATCAGGTGGGAACAACAAACCTCTCCACAACTTGATGTAAAGAAGAGTTTGATGCCAGCTTGAGTAACCTGCATCAGTTGAACAAACAAACCAGGAATCATTGTTCCAATCGTCGATGTCGATCGCACTTCCATTCAAGAAAAAAAAAACAGGACATTAGGGACTACCTTCCTGTGTATGTTTGCACAGTAAATGGTCCTTGAGCACATCTCACGCTCGTCATCGGACTGAAGAGCATAAAACAATCAAAGAGAAGTAACTAAAAACGAATACGTATCTAGCCTAGAACCAATAATGAAGTTGGTTCATCATATTCATGCTTTACCTTGGGTAAATATGTCGGGTTAACAGGTGCAATTGCAGTCTTGGAAGGCATCACTTTCAACGGGTAAAACCCGAGAACGGTTCCAGACAATTTCAAAGCAGCCTTTGCATCCTCTGCAAAAACACCGAGACATCAATGCTGTAAAAGTAGGGCATATATCAATGCTTACCGAATTCGTAAGACATACGTATTACCTTCATTATGAAACTCGATGAAGGCAAAGTGGAGAGCCGATGTAGGATCACTACATATGCGACAATCAACAATCTACAGATCAAAACGAAAGTGAAGTTAAAACCTTAGGGGAATGATCCAACACTATTAAGTTATTAAATCTGAGGAAAACAAGTACCGGTCCACAACTCTGAAAGAGACCTGCAAGAACCTCCTCTGTAACCTATATAACAGCCATATCACTTCAAGTTTATGCATTCATATCTTTTAATTTATATACAAACAAAGGTCAAACACGAGTAATTCGATAAAAATGAAGAGTCGGAGCAACATAAACTACACCAGTGCACAACAAGAGAAGATGGATTCACCTTTTGATCAATATCAGTAACATAAACGGTGTTCCTAATAGCATCAGTTCTCCGAGGAATGCCTGTTTTCTTATTCAACTTTCTCTTTGCTTGAACATACTTTCTATTCCTCCTCTGATTGGAAAACAACAAGAGAAGATCAACAAAAACAACCAAATTTAAATCTTTTTTTTATAGAAATTAATGGAATTTGTCAAAGAGAAAAAAAAAGTAAAATATACCTTTCCATTTACAGAAGATCGATTAGCAAGAGAAGGGGGTATGAACTCCTTAGCCATTGGGTTCAGGTTAGACAACATCTCAGCCAAATCATTTATTCCGTTCTTCAATTTTTCACCATTTTCGTCATTGCTATGCTCATTAAGCATCTCCTGCTGATTCTTCTCTTCAAACCCATTTTCCGATGACCCAACGACCGCCATGATCAAACGTGTTTCAGATCCCTCTGTAAACAAACAAATGAATAAAAAAGAAAACACAAAAAGATCCCATCTTTACTATCCTGCTGTCTCATTTAATGGTCTAAAAAAACTACAGTTACTGTTGTTAATGTCGGAGAGAAACGGCAACGTACCTGCCTTATCCAAATGGTTTTTCCGAACGTCAAAGATCGTAACTTTATGTACTGGGAATCTACTTACTAAGAATTAATGGATGAAACGGCCGAAAACAGTGTGTAAAACGCCTTTGTTTTTTTGGGTTGTGTATTGTGTTGTATGATATCATATAAATACTGTGATTATGGTTGTAGCCATTAATTCATCCTTCTTTCCAACGTGATTCAATTTTATTTTTATTATTATTTTAATGGAGGAAGGTTGTTAGGATTGAATTTAATAAAGGTGCTTGTATATTTTTTTTATTGATTTTAATAAATTATTTTACATTTTTTATATCTATCTATTAAGTCAATATGTATAGATGCTAACTACCATACACTTTGTCTTATTTAAATTTTAGTAATATTAGATCTCAAGTTTAGATTTTAATAATTTACTTTTTATCTCATAATAATAATAATAATAATAGAAAAATAATATTTAGTAAATGAAATATGCAATTAATAATGCTTTTATTAAATACAAAAGTAATTTATATTGTATTTGTTTATTTAGTTTATGTTGGTAAAACCGTAGCATGTTTAAGATTAAAACTTAATACAAATACAACAATATATATAGTATCTAATTACATAATGTAAAACTAAAATGTTTCACACTTTTTTAAAATTGTCGGATGAGAGAAAATTAAAGGCTGAGATTAAGTGTAAAAAAATGAGAAGATATTCATTGAAAAAAAAACAAGGAGTTAATCTCAATATTTAATTTCTCTTAGTCCAACTGTCCTAAAAAGATATAAATTTTTTAATTTTACACTAGGGTGCGTTTGGTTCACGGAATGTAAGATTACCAGGGAATAAGATTACTGAGAATGTTGTATTTTGTGTTTGGTTGATTTAGCAGGAATGTAAGATTACCGTGTTTGGTTAAAGGAATAAAAGATTATTGGAATGTATATTTGACCAAATTATCCTTATTATATATTTGTTTTTTAACAAGTTGGAAAATATTTATATATTTTCTTTAAAAAATTTAAATTCATAAAATTTATATATTTTTTTACAAAATTGAAAATATAAAAAAGTTTAATGAAAGGGTAAAATTTTATTTTAACCCCTGAACTTCATATAAAATTTTAATTATAGACTTTTTTTGTAAATCTAAAATAGTTCAAGGATAAATTTGTAATTTAACCTTCGTAGAATTTTTATTATTCAATGACAGAAGAAGAATATTTTTTAGAGAAAAAAATTAAGGGCATTTTAGTCCAAAATATCGGTAATCCAACAATACCTAAGGAAAGGGAGATAATGACATTCCTGGTAATATACCCCAAAATATCTACTATTGGTAATAAAACATTACCGGGAATGAGATTCCCGGCCAACCAAATATGGGAATGTGGATTCCATTCACATAGGAATCCCACATTCCTTAATCCAAACACCCCCTAGGTGTATGTAGATCCTAATATATATATATATATAGGGTGATTATAAGTGATCATATTTGTTTTAGAGACACTTAATCATTTGACAATAAACACTGAAATACTCCACAGTAGCTGATATTCAACCTTAGATCTCTAAGATAACAATCATTTTTCTAATCGTTAAGATAACTTAATTCTTTTAACAATAATATATTTATATGTCTACATGTTAATGTTATATATATTCCATTTCAAAGTAAGAAGATATTAGTATAATAATTCATATTAAGGATTTGTGTGATTTATTTTTATAGATTTAGATAATATATTCCATTCCAAAATTTTATATATTCGATAGATTTTAATTTGATAATATTTTGGTTCATGTAAAAATAAGCATTTAGATTTAAAAATATAGTAATTTGTTAAATATTTAATCAAGTAGGGGTCAAACTAAAGACGGTTATTTCATGTTCTCAATTTTTTTTTATCTAATAACAAGTCGTTGTAAGTTTAAATATTAAATAAATTAGGCATTTTCTTCTTAATTTTAAGTTTAAATACTTAAGAAGTTGTCGTAACCGTCTTTCGGTTGGGCCCCGGAATTGGGCTTCGACTTGAAAAATGTGATTGGAGTCGCCACCGATTATTTATTTAAAAAAATAAATAGGTTAATCGGATACCTTATATCTTACCTGATCTGCGTCTTACCAAAGATATGTCGGATTCGGGAGTCGGTTACGGTCAAGGAAGGATTAGCACTCTTGAACCGCCCTTTCGGTACTACGTAATTTCCAGTTGTTTTTAATTAAGAAAATCGAAAGTTAAAATTTAAAGGTAACATATGATCCAAAATTACTTACCTTCGATCAATTTAAAAGAGTACCCTTAAAAAGTCGAGAAACGCGTTAAAGGAAAAAGGAAATAAGAGTAAATGAAATAAAGAAACTAAAAGGAAAAAAATAAAAAAAATGATGAAAAACTAAAAGAGGAATAAAAACATATAATTATTAAGTGCAAATAATAATAATGATAATAAGTAGTAAAATAAAAAACGCAATCACACCAAAAAAGTAAAAAAAAGAAAGTCAAGGTTTGGTGAAGTATAACTGTCGGGAAGGAAAAAGACGATAAGGGGTGGGACCGTAGTTAATAAATGAGTGTGATGTATCCCTATAATATAGTAAGAATGAATAAACAAAAAACATTATGATATAATATATATATATATATAATAAATATTATAACGAAAAAATAATAATTTAATAAAGTAAAATAATAATAATGTAATATAATATAAATACATGAAAACAAAAAAAATAAAGAAGTATAAAATATAAAAATATAATTAAATGTATATATATATATGCATATGTTTAAAAAAAAGTAAAAATAAAAATAAAATACAATAAAAAATATACATATAATGATAATAATAGTAGCAAAAGAGAAATATATTTATATACGTTAATAGTAAAATAATAATAAATATAATAGTTATAAATATATATATAATAACTTTAAAAAACATTAAAATAATATTAGAATAAAAATAATTAATATATATATATATACTTAATAATACGATTTATCAAAAAGAAATAAATAAAAATATGAAAATAATACATAAGGGACCGTTCATCGGCAGCAAACCTTTCCTTCGTTTTAAATATCCTAGTATTTTTTCAAAACGGCCTCGGGGTTGTGTAGATCTAAAAGAAAAAGTTTCGAACGACAACCCCTTTTCCTCGACCAAAACTGTTTTTTTTTTCAAGCACAAAGACGAATAACAACACATGCAAGTGAAGAAAAGAATGCGAAAGGTAAAAGCTTTCACCTTTTATTTCTCCTGAATTGTTTACAATAGCTTCAAAACAATCTATTTGCTTGTATTTTTTCTGGTAATTTCGTATGCCAATCGTGTGTTACAATAGTGAGCTACAATGGCTATTTATAGTGCTTGTGGATCCTATCTTTAGGAGTTTAAAACATAGCAAAATTCTATCCTATTTTAGGAGTTGAATCCTAGCAGCATTCTATCCTATTTTTGAGAGTTTGAATCCTAGTAGGACGAAAAAGGTGTGTTGACAGCTGCCCCTCTTTGCCCATAGTCGTGTAACGGGGATAGGGCAAAGATTGAAAGACACACTTTTCGTTCGGTGGAGTTGAAAATTGACTATGATGTTTCAATAACTCCCTGTCGAATTGAGTTACGGATGACTCATCCGTCGTGAAGTCGAGTTCATCTGGAAGCTTCTGAGCACTATATCCTTCATCGTGAAGTTGGAATCGAACTCAAAGCTTTTGGCGAGTGGCCTTTGAATCGTCTTCTGGATCAAGATACTTCGTCGTGAAGGTGAAACTTGACCTGAAGACTTCGGTGTTGATACGTTACAGATGACTCATTCATCGTGAAGTTGGGTCAATCTGTTTGTGAAATTGGAATCGTACAGGGCCCCTTCGTCATGAAGTTGAGCCTGAGAATTGGATATCCTTCGCCATGAAGTTGAAATCCAAATATTGTTTCGAGTCCAATATCCTCCGCTGTGAAGTTGAAATTGGTTCTGGAACTGGGAAATTGTTTGTTGATTGTCAGTCGCCCCTTCGCTGTGAAGTTGAGCTTGTGCTATCTCGAGTCTAATATCCTTCGCTGTGAAGATGAAATTGACTCTGAACAAAATCTTGTTGACAATCAGTCGTCCCTTCGTTGTGAAGTTGAACTTGTGTTGTCTCGAGTCCAATATCCTTCGCTGCGAAGTTGAAATTGGCTCTGAAATTTGAAAAATGTTTGTTGACAACCAGCCGTCCCTTCGTTGTGAAGTTGAACTTGTGTTGTCTCGAGTGGCACGATATCCTTCGTCGTGGAGTTAAAATCGCGGATGAAACTGAAAAGTTGTTCGTTGACAACCAGCCGTCCCTTCGTTGTGAAATTGAACTTGTGTTATCTCGGGTAGCACGATATCCTCTGTCGTGGAGTTGAAATCGGCTCTGGAATTGGGAAATTGTTTGTTGACAACCAGCCGTCCATTCGCTGTGAAGTTGAACTTGTGTTGTCTCGAGTCCAATATCCTTCGCTGTGAAGTTGAGATTGGCTCCGAAATTGCTTGTCGACAGTCAGCCACCCCTTCGCTGTGAAGTAGAGCTTGTGCTGTCTTGGGTCCAATATCCTTCGCTGTGAAGTTGAAATTGGCCCTGAAACTAGGAAATTATTGTTGACAACCAGCCGTCCCTTCGTTGTGAAGTTGAACTTGTGTTGTCTCGAGTTCAATATCCTTCGTTGTGAAGTTGAGATTGGCTCCGAAATTGTTTGTCGACAGTCAGCCGCCCCTTCGCTGTGAAGTTGAGCTTGTGCTGTCTTGGGTCCAATATCCTTCGCTGTGAAGTTAAAATTGGCCCTGAAACTGGGAAATTATTGTTGACAACCAGCCGTCCCTTCGTTGTGAAGTT